CTTCCGAAATCTCCTCAACTGCTTAACACAAAGACTCTCTCTCTCTCTCTCTCTTTGGCATTCCCGCATAAGGACTGCCAGCCAGACTCCATTGTAATCTGCCGATAATGCTGAACATAATAAACACCACCGGCAATTTTAACAGCAGCAACAACAACAACGAAAAGATTTTAAGCTTTCCATTCCAAGCCACTTGCCATTGTGCCCGGTAGTTCTTTAGTCACTCGCCACCACCAAGCCAAATTGCCAATGGCGGAAAACAAGGATATGCATAATTTGGAAGTGCTGGAGTTTGTTTTTTTTTCTTTCTTAATTTAATAGCAATAATTCTGGCAAGCCACTTATAACGCCATTCTGGGCCACTGAAGAAAGGCCTTGGCCAAAAGCAGAAGCAGCAGCATCATCATCATCCGCAACGGGAGTCCGTCGAAGCACTTGGTGTTGTAATTGTTTATGCTTTGCTGAGTGAAAATGCCTTGGTATTTTTTTTTTTTTTTTTTAACTAAAGGTTCTTATTTATGGTTATTTATTGCAGGAGTCTTCTGTTTAACACCCCCCGATCCCCTACATCGTGTACGACTCCCGCTCTTCCTTTCTCTCTCTCTGTTGGAGTTGCATTATGTCCTAGAGATGATGCTTCTTTAGAGGTGATGCTTTTGCTCTTTTTGTTTTATATTTTTCATTACCACAATTGTCTGGTCGAACGGTATCCTAGTTGGTGGACCAGAAGAGATACAAAGAAGGAGAAAAAGAGGGAGAAGAATGTTGAGAGAAAGGGAGAGGAAAGACATTATTCTGAAGTGCACAAAAACCCCAGATCCTTGTTTGTAATGTTGTTCTTGCTGCTGCTGCTGATTGTTCCTTGTTACATGTTTGTAATTAAAATTGTCTATGTGTATGTGTGTGTGTGTGTGAGTGCGTCTGTGCATGTCTGCCTTTGTGTGTGTGTGTTGTCATGTTAAATGATATAAATTAATTATTTTCAACAGCAGCAAATAATAAATTGCTGATGCTGTCGCTATTATTGTTTGCGGTCTTTGGCTTTCGCTTCGCATCGTTTGTTGTTGTTGCTGCTGTTGTTTTTGCTGTTGATTGTCTTCTTTTATTGTTGCTGTTGTTTAAGCTGTTATTTCAGGCCATTGGCAACATGGCTCCAAAAACTCATTCAGATGGCTAATTATTTCCATGTAAGTTTGTATAGTTCTAGGTGTTCGCCATCACAATAATCGCATTACCATCAGCATCGTTATCAGGACGACGTTAGCTGTTCGTTTCTTCTTCTTCTTCTTTTCACTTCACTCCACACTTGATTTTTTGTAGTTTACACTTCATTTATTAGCGAAACAGACAGAGAAGGAGAATAATTGGTGGACAGGACATGATGTTGTTCGGAAAGAAGAGTGGAATTTATTTTGAAGTTATATTTTGCACGGAATTAAAAGATCCGATGATACAGTAACTAAAGGTCATCTGAAGAATTTCTATTGACCTAAATAGGGGTAGAGGTTTTTGAAGCCCTAAAAATTTCTGAAGATTTTTCTTTTTCTGCTGAAATTATTTTACCAACTGTCCAAAGGAGACCTGCTGAAGGTCTCATCTTTATAGAAAATCTGCTTAAGACAAATGTACATAGGAGTCCTCCTGATGGTCTCCTGTTCATAGAAACCATCTGAAAGTTTTATGTTCATAGAAGACCTTCTGAAGGCATTTTCATCATAGAGAGCCTTTTGAAGATCGTATGTCCATAAAACAACTTCCAGAAGGCCTTCTGGTCCAATAGAACCTGCTTAAGACGCAGCTGTCTAAGAAAGATCTACTTGTTAAGAGGGTCCTTTAACAGCCCTCTGATCATAAAAAGTTATCTGAAGGTCTTCTCTAACCATACAAGACCCTTTGTAGGCCTTCTAACCTTCTGAAGGTCTTCTGTCCATATACAAGACCCTCTATAATTTTTCTATCCACAAAAGACCGTCCGAAGTCTTATTTCTATAGGACAGCCGTTGAAGATCTTCTGTCCGTGGAAGATCTGCTAAAGATATTCTATCCATAGAAAGCCTGTTCAAGGTATATTTTAGATAGGGTGGAGGCTTTTTTGAAGTCCAAGAAGTCTCTTTCTCCAAAGGAGACCTGCAAAATGTCCCATTTTCATAGAAAGACAATCTATCCATTAAAACCTTTTTGAAGTTCTTCTGTTCATCATCAGAAAACCATCTCTAAGTTTTTTTTCATAGAGGCATACTGAAGACCTTATTTTTATCATTGACAAGCTGTTCGAAGGCTTTATGATCATAAAAAAACTCTAGAAGGCCTTCTGTTCCTATGGAACCATGTGATATATTTTGTCATCATAGAGGACCCTCTGAGAATCTTGTCATCATAGAAGACCTTTTGAAGGTCTTATGTCCATAAAAAATACTTCAGAAGGCTACCTGTAGAAGACCTTTTGTTCTTATGGAACTATCTCAACATTTTTTTGTTCATAGAGAAGTTTCCGACTTTTAAAGGTCTTATGTCCATAAAAATCCTCCAAAAGACCTTCTGTTCCTATGGAAATCTTTTCATCGTATAGGACCTTTTTGGGGTCTCATGTCCATAAAAAAACGTCAAAAAGGCCTTCTGTCCCTAAGGAACCATATCATAGAAGACCTATTGAAGATCTTTTTTATCATAGACGACTTTTGAACCTATGGAACCATCTGAGGACCTTCTGAAGATCTGTTCTGAACCGTTTTTTTTTTTTTTTTTTTTTTTTTGTTCATAGATGACCTTCTGAAGGTCTTATCATCAAAGATAATTTTTTGAAAGTCTTATGTCCATAAAAAATACTTCAGAAGGCTTTTGGTACCTTTGGAAACTGCTGAAGGTGCAATATGTCCAAAGAAGACCTACGGAATAACTTCATGTCCTGCATGTGTAGAGGGTCCACTATCAATCCTCTGACCATATAAAGTCCTTTGTAGGCCTTCTAACCCCACAAGACCTTGAATAGGAGATCCGCTGAAGATCCTCTGTCCCTGGAAGACCTTTTAAAACTTGTCTTTCCATGGCACACCTGTAGAAGGTCATCTGTCTAAGGAAGATTTCCAGAAGGCTTTCTGTCCATAGAAAACCTGCTGAAGGTCTTCTAACCATGGAAGACATGTTAAAAGTCCTGCTGAAGGCCCTTTTCTATATATGGAAGATCCGCTGAATATTTTCTCTTTCTAAATTTATGATCTTCTTCAGGGAAGTTTTCTGCAATCGAAATATTGGAAGGTCTTTGTTTGAGGAGGGTGCATTTAGACTCTCCTGCCGATATAACATCGTCTGAAGGTCTTCCATGAACGTCTTCTATTCATACAAGACCTTGTGAAGGCCTCCTAGAAGATTTGCTAAATAGTTTCTATTTATTGCAGACCTGTAGAAGTCCATCTGTCTAAAGAAGACATCTTCAAGGCATTCTGTCTATAGCAAAGCAGTTGAATGTCTTCTGTCCAGGTAAGATACGCTTAACGACCTATTGACAAAACCTTCTGAAGACCTTCTTGTATAGAAGATCCGCTGAATTGTATTTTATCGCTAGAAGACCTGGTAAAGATATCCTGAAGGTGTTCTGTTCATAGATAATCTGTTGAATGTTTTTTGCACATGGTCCCTATTATGGAAGGTCCCTAAAATATTCTTTAAAAAATCTACGCCTTGTGGAAGGTCCCTAAAATATTCTTTAAAAAATCTACGCCTTGTGGAAGGTCCCTAAAATATTCTTTAAAAAATCTACGCCTTGTGGAAGGTCCCTAAAATATTCTTTAAAAAATCTACGCCTTGTGGAAGGTCCCCAAAAAAATATTCTTTAAAAAATCTACGCCTTGTGGAAGGTCCCCAAAAAAATATGCTTTAAAAAATCTACGCCTTGTGGAAGGTCCCTAAAATATTCTTTAAAAAATCTACGCCTTGTGGAAGGTCCCTAAAATATTCTTTAAAAAATCTACGCCTTGTGGAAGGTCCCTAAAATATTCTTTAAAAAATCTACGCCTTGTGGAAGGTCCCTAAAATATTCTTTAAAAAATCTACGCCTTTTGGAAGGTCCCTAAAATAGTCTTTAAAAAATCTACGCCTTTTGGAAGGTCCCTAAAATATTCTTTAAAAAATCTACGCCTTTTGGAAGGTCCCTAAAATATTCTTTAAAAAATCTACGCCTTTTGGAAGGTCCCTAAAATAAAAAATCTACGCCTTGTGGAAGGTCCCTAAAATATTCTTTAAAAAATCTACGCCTTGTGGAAGGTCCCTAAAATATTCTTTAAAAAATCTACGCCTTGTGTTAGGCAGGACCCTGAAAACATATTCTCTAAAAAGTACACGTCTTGTGTTATGCAGGACCCTCAGAAAAATCTTTAAAATTCAAGGTAGGTTCCTGAAAAAATATACTTTGAAAAATGTAATCCAAGAGGTGCCTCTGAAAAAATATTCTTTGAAAAATCTACGCTCGGCAAAAAATTGTTTCAAAAAATTGCGCCTAGAGGTAGCCCCAAAAAATTATTCTTGGAAAAATCTACGCCAAGAGATAGTTCCCAAAAATATACTTTAAAGAATCTGTGCCTTGTGGTAGCTCCGAAAAAATACGCTTTAAAAATCTACGCCGAGTTGTGGCCCAGAAAAACAATCTTCTTCAAAAATCGAAAATCTTAGAAAAATCTATTCCTACCCAAAAAATATTCTTAAAAAATCTACGCATAGAGGTAGCTTCTAAAAATAGGCTTAGAAATATCTTCGCCTAAAGCTAGCTCCTACAAATCCTCCACGCCTTGTGATAGGTCCTTGAGAAAAAAAAAAACACTTTAAAAATTCCCGAAAAATATTTTTTAAAAAATTTACGCTCCGAAAAATATTCTCCAAAATGTTTTCACAATAAGTGCAGGTCCCGAAACAAGCCAATTCTGATTTTAAAATTTTAACAGTTCTCTATTATTTTTTTTTTTTTTTTTTTTTATTTATAAACAATTTTCAAAATCTCCTGTCAAAACATGCCAATTACCGAAGAATTTCATAAGCTCGCCCATGCGAAGCATCGCAAACGTGTCGCCGAGGCAAAGGCCATTGTGGACCATAAGTCACCCATTCTACACGTTGGCAATTTTTCAAGATTTTCTAAATTAAAAGACGATGTGATGACATTTGTTGAGCGGAATAAGGCAAATGCTGAACTATTGGTTCGTATGAATGAGATTTTTCGTACCCGCGGTGTGACGGATTCATTTCGTGTCAAAGAAACGGCATTAGCTGCCACGAATTTGCCAATACGTTTGAAGGAGTTGCATAAAATCGAAATGGAAAATATGAAAATGGGTAAAAGGATTTTATGTACTACAAAGGAGCTGGACACATGGCAGGATGCAGCGAAATTAAGGAAATCGAAGACCGCCAAAAGTCATCATGGGAAATTCCTCGTTCCCTATGGCATTTTAAAGAAATATTCTCAATTGAAACTGCCACAAGATCACAAGGAACTGAAAGTGGTTTTAAGACCCAAGGTGTGGTTCGATTTGGAAGTGAAGAACATTCGCCCCCTGGGACGCATTGTCCTGCAGCTCTATACCGAAGCTGCTCCCGGTGTGGTTTTGGAATTTATAAAGTTGTGTAGTAGCGGGGTCGATAATCAACGTTTGTCTTTTGTTCGCCTTTTCCCTTCCTTGTGGTTGGAGGGTAATTTGCGGTTGCCGGATAAAACTTTAATATCCCGCCCATTGGAATATGATAAGCGGGCCATGGATCATGGCAAATATGCTGGCATTCTTTCGTTCTCTTTGGACCATTTGAAATATCACAAGAGGGGCTTATTTTATTTTTCCATCAGTTTTAAACCGCTTGTGGTGCTGAATGGTCGACGTATTGGTTTTGGTAGGGTGGTAGAGGGTTTGAAGGCCATGAAATCGATTGATGTTTATGGTACAAAAAATGGTAAACTAACTAAGGAAATTGTTGTCTCGCAATGCGGAATCGTTAAATAAATGGAAATATTTTACAGAGGAGATACTAGTTTTATTCTAAGAGAAAGAAGAGAGAACCAAGGCGTGGATTTTTTTAAGAATATTTTTTAAGGGCCCAATAGAAGCTCTTCAAAATGTTTTTCATGTATTGAAACCCACCAGAAACCCCACTGGTCATGATTAAACGAGAAACAAGCAGAGGTGTTTTTAGCTTATAACACATCTTTCTCGTATTCTACCAATAGTAGAACTATGTGAAATATTCTGAAGGTCATTTTTTACATAGAAGCCTCCAGATGGAATTCCGTACGACTTCGTTAACATATTCTCCTGAAGTACCAATTTCTTCAGTAGACCTCAAGACCCCTTTCTCTCTAGAATAACTTATGTAGTTTTATTTCTATATAAGAAATCCATGCCTTTTGTTGGACCATAAAAATATTCTTTAAGAAATCCATGCCTTTTGTTGGACCCTAAAATATTCTTTTAAAAAATCCAAGCCTTTTGCTATTACCCTAAAAATATTCTTTAAGAAATCCACGCCTTTTGCTAGGACCCTAAAAATATTCTTAAAAAAATCCACGGCTTTTGCTAGGACCCCAAAAATATTCTTTAAGAAATCCACGCCTCTTGCTAGGTCCCCTAAAAGTATTATTTAAAAAATCCACGCCTTTGGGTAGGCCCCTAAAAATATTCTTTAAGAAATCCACGCCTTTTAGAAGGTCCCTAAAAATATTCTTTAAAAAATCCACGCCAATAGAAGCTCTTCAAAATGTTTTTCATGTATTGAAACCCACCAGAAACCCCACTGGTCATGATTAAACGAGAAACAAGCAGAGGTGTTTTTAGCCTATAACACATCTTTCTCGTATTCTACCAATAGTAGAACTATGTGAAATATTCTGAAGGTCATTTTTTACATAGAAGCCTCCAGATGGAATTCCGTACGACTTCTTTAACATATTCTCCTGAAGTACCAATTTCTTCAGTATACCTCAAGACCCCTTTCTCTCTAGAATAACTTATGTAGTTTTATTTCTATAGAATACCTTCTGAGGTTCAGGCCTTTCCCCTTAATCAAGAATATCTTCTGAGGGTCAACTTTTTCGATAATACCTTTTGAAGGTCTCATTTCTCTGAAGATCTCCTTTCTCTAGAATACCTTTTGAAGGCATCCTTTCTGTTGATTACCTTTCTCTAGAAGACCTTTTGAAGGTCCCCTATTATCTAGAATATCTTCAGAGGGTCATTTGATGAACTAAAAGAAATCCACGCCTTTTGCTAGGACCCTAAAAATATTCTTTAAGAAATCCACGCCTTTTTGTAGGTCCCTAAAAATATTCTTTAAAAAATTCACGCCTTTTTGTAGGTCCCTAAAAATATTCTTTAAAAAATCCACGCCTTTTGGAAGGTCCCTAAAAATATTCTTTAAAAAATCCACGCCTTTTGGAAGGTCCCTAAAAATATTCTTTAAGAATTCCACGCCTTTTGGTAGGCCCCTAAAAATATTCTTTAAGAAATCCACACCTTTTGGAAGGTCCCTAAAAACATTCTTTAAAAAATCCACGCCCTTTTGTAGGTCCCTAAAAATATTCTTTAAAAAATCCACGCCTTTTGGAAGGTCCCTAAAAATATTCTTTAAAAAATCCACGCCTTTTGGAAGGTCCCTAAAAATATTCTTTAAAAAATCCACGCCTTTTGGTAGGTCCCTAAAAATATTCTTTAAAAAATCCACGCCTTTTGGTAGGTCCCTAAAAATATTCTTTAAAAAATCCACGCCTTTTGGTAGGTCCCTAAAAATATTCTTTAAAAAATCCACGCCTTTTGGTAGGTCCCTAAAAATATTCTTTAAAAAATCCACGCCTTTTGGTAGGTCCCTAAAAATATTCTTTAAAAAATCCACGCCTTTTGGTAGGTCCCTAAAAATATTCTTTAAAAAATCCACGCCTTTTGGTAGGTCCCTAAAAATATTCTTTACGAAATCCACGCCTTTTGCTAGGACCCTAAAAATATTCTTTAAGAAATCCACGCCTTTTGGTAGGTCCCTAAAGGTAGGCATATTTCCATGATATTCCCTAAAGTTTTTCATTTTCATCCAAATTGTTTCATCCAAAGGAAGGAAGACTTATTTTTAATAAGAAAATCCTGTGCTTCTTCTTTTTTTTTCTCAGAAAATCCCTTAACAAAATGTTCCTTTCTTTCTTTTTTGCGACTCAAAATCTTCTTTCATGTATCCATGGATCCTATCTTACATTTCCTTTGAAATACATTTCTTATGTTTAATTATATTTTATTCTGCCCCCCACACACCTCCCAAAATATGATTCTTTTGAAGAGGAGTCATGCTTGTGCATGCGAACTTAATTTGTGACAGTGTTAATGACATAATTACAGTAACAGCATTAAAATTAACGCAAAAATGTTGCCTTTGACAACGGATGTATATGCCCGTCAAAGAAGATCTTGCTCTGACAGTAAAGATGTAAGGCATTATGTGTGTGTATATATGTGAATGTGTGTGTTTGGGGAAATATCCAAATGTATATAATAAGATATGTATTTATTTGAGACATACATATATACAAATGGCAATGATATTAATTTCGGAAAAATGTAAGAAACAACCATTTTGAGTCGCTGCCTTGAAGTGTTTATATGTGGGCGCCTAAAAGTATGCTTTGATTTTTGTCAAATGTTTTCTCTTTGATTTGCCAAAGGAAGGTAACATGGGTTGCAATGTAGGGGAGTTGTTAAAGAAGTTTTAATATTTTTGAAACTATTATGGCACCTAAGAGTGGAAAAGTCAGTATGCCACCCCGACCCGCTCAGTAGTCTTCCCTCATCTCTTTTCTAATAATATTTGATGAAAAATTCCAACTAGAAAAACATCACCATCAAAGAGCAAAAAAATCCCATTACATTTATTTAAACTTAACCCAGGCGACATATTTACAACCACCGCAGACCGGTCTCTTCGAAGTAAAAAATAAAAAAAATTGTTAACGCTTACCAAAAATCTACAACTATTATAACAATAATTTATTTTTATAAAATGAAAAAAAAAGAAAATCCGAAAGCAGCTTAGACCCGGTAAAAAGTTCAAAAGTGCAGACATAAAAAATAAAAAATGCACATCCCCGCAAAAAAACGAAAGAAATACCCCACACCCACCCGTCCCGCTACCCTACCATAAAACTATTTTTCTTCTTCTCTGCAAAATTTCCCAGTCATTTTTCTTGTTAACCAAGCAACTAACCAACCAAAAGACCCCAAACGACCAACCGTCCGCTTCTCTACTTAAAGCTTGAGCTGTAAAGAGAAGAAAGAAGAAAAAATCCGCCACACCGAAAATAAAAGTTAACTATAATTTAATGCGGAACCGCGAAATGAAAAAAAATCCGCACACACCAAAAACCAACAGCATTAACCCATTTCTTGACGGTTTTTTGTGGTTACAGCGCAAGAAAAAAAAGAATGGTAACTTTGGAAGAGGGGAGGAAAGGGAGATCGATAGGGGTGCAACGAAAAACTGCAGTTTTTTTTTTAATGTAAATGTAAATTTGGTTACACGGTTTTTATTGTTTCGTGTAAGGCAACGAGGCTAGGCTATCGCCACACAGTTAAGAAATGAATAAATTTTAAATGTACGACAGTTTCAGCAATGCTGTGCTTCGCTTCGATATATTCAGCAGAGAGGTGCAAAGCAATGTAAACAGTTGCAATTAATTTTTGTTTTTATTTTTTCGTCGAAACAAATCCGGAAACAAATTGGAATCTGGGGGAATCACAAACAACAGGGGGATCGTTTTTTGGAGGTACACATAATTCAGCAAAGATATTTTTGCATGAAAATACAATTCAGCAAAGATTTCATAATAAAAATATTCAGTTTAGTAACATGGGGTATAAAAATAAATCAATTCAGCTAAATTTCCATGAAGAAAATCTCAATTCAGCAACGTTTTTATATAGAAACTCAATATAGATAATATTTTGATAGAAAAATATAAATCAGCAACGATTTGTTTTGCATGTAAATACAATTCAGCAAATATTTTTTAATCAGACAATTCATTTAACGACAATCTGTAAAAGAAAAACTCAATTCAGCTAAATTTCTATGAAGAAAACCTTTATTCAGCAATGATTTTACATAAAAACTCAATATAGAAAAGTTTTTTTTATCGAAAAATATAATTCAGCAAAGATTTTTTGCATGGAAATACAATTCAGCAAAGATTTTTTAATATAAACATGCAATTTTGTAATAAAATCTAAAAGTAAAATTCAATTCAGCTAAATATTAATAGAGAAAATCCCTATTCAGCTACAGATTTTTATAGAGAAACTCAATTTATAGGAATTTTTTAAGAAAACATAATTTAGCGATAATTTCCTTTGAGAAAAACTCAATTCAGCAGAAATTGTCTGCCGAAAAACTAAATTCAGCTATATTTTTCTAAAGAAAAAAATCCAGTCCAAATTGGAAATCAGGGGGAGACCCTGAAAATATCAGCCGAAGGTACGTGTTTAGAAAAATTTTTAGCATAGAAATACAATTCAGCTAAGATTTAGTAACAATAGGTACAAAAAAGTCAATTCCATAGAGAACATCTCTATTCAGCAACGTTTTTGCATAGAAACTCAATATAGAAAAGATTTTTATAGAAAAATATAATTCAGCAAAGATTTTTTTGCATGGAAATACAATTCAGCAAAGAATTTTTACAAAGGAAATGCAATTACGTAACAGTGGGTACAAAACTAAAAATAAAAAAATAAATTTCCATGAAGAAAATCGCAATTCAGCAACGATTTTACATTGAAACACAATATTGATAAGATTTGTATAGAAAAATACAATTCAGCAACGATTTTTTCCATAGAAATACAATTCAGCAAAGATTTTTTAATAAGAAAATTCAATTGAGTAATAATGGTTACAAAAATAAGTCAATTCAGCTAAATTTCCATAGAGAAAATCTCAATTCAGCAAAGTTTTTGCATAGAAACTCTATATA